ATTCCACAAAAAAAAACGCAATTCATTATTACCAGAACAATGCTGAGTTGTGGGCAAAAGTCGCACCCCAGGAGGGAGCTGAACTCGCACCTCACGCCACCAAGACCGTTTTTCCCTCTCAGCCTAATGGCTATTATGCCGTAGCCTTACAGCACTCACACGTTTAACTTGGTGAGCCGGTCAGCCGTAATCGTTAGATATCGGCAATGAACCGCGAGGCCGAAGGCTTTACAAGTTTTTGAAGCTGTTTTGTTATGATAACTGCTGTTTAACGCCGCAGTACGCGTTCCGAATGTTATCACAAGAATGCTGAGTTGTGGGCAAAAGTCGTGCCCCAGGCGGGAGTCGAACCGCACCTCACGCTTTACGGGCGGGTTCGACTTCCGCCTGGGGCACGACTTTTGCCCACAACTCAGCATTCTTGTGATAACATTCGGAACGCGAACTGCGGCGTTGAAGCAGCAGTTATCCTAACAAAACAGCTTCAATCCATTATTATTAGTCAAAGTTAGAGAGTTAGAGTCAAAGTTAGAGAGCCAATTAGAAGTTAGACAAATGAAAGCGAGAAAAGCCGTGATGCGCTCAGAGACGTTTATGCGTCAAATGGAAATCATATACTTGTAGTAGTAGTGAACTGTGCCAGCTGATATCCATAGGGTATGGTACACCCAAAGCAAAGTTTTTTGTGACTACGAGTCTTTGGAATGAAGTTGAGAAATCGCAAAATTTGCAGGATGATGGTTGCCGGACTGCTTCAGAGCCTTCACCGAAAATTGTAGGTCCATAGTCATTGTCCCCATCAGGAAGGAACTATGTCATTCAACAACTTCTTTACAGGATGACGGATGTAGAACTGCATCCGAGCCTACACCAAAAGCGGTAGGTGTTTCCACTTGACTCTCGTATCGTACACCTACTTGTTGGGACCAACGCCCCATGACTGTTGTGATTAATTTCGCGGCGCTCCCTTCCTGACGCCCTTTTTCAGGCTCAATACAGTCGTGTTCATTCCTCGTCACCCACCAGTGGTGTTCTTGTCCCGTCTCCTACACAGCATGCCAATTTTAACTCTGCAACTACAACAAAGGAACTCACTTCTGAACACACACACACACACACACACACACACACACACACACACACACACACACACACACACACACACACACACACACACACACACACACACACACACACACACACACACACACACACACACACAACACACCACACACACAGCACCGTTGATTTAGCGAGGAAAAACAGGTACCTGTCAGTTGACACCATCACCAATCACCCGTCACCAATCCCCTTATTAGTAAAGAAATTGTTTGATAAGAGCTCTACCACCTCTAGTAATTCGATGATGTCAGCGACTCCTATGAGCCGCTCTCATTTGTTATCGCCTCTCATACGCCATCGCTAATACCGTCGCAGCCCTTTGTTTCACCTGCTGGAACAAAAACTCCTTTGTTGATCTCGCCTGTGCCGTGAATTCAGCTTTTCTCTACTTTGGACTCTGAAGGCAAAGCATAGCAGCGTTATCACTTCCCGTCACCCACGAACTGTGTTCCCGTTCTGCCCCTTCCCACCTCTCACCCACCTCTCACTCGCCGCCCCTCTCCCCCCCCCCCCCCGCTATATCAGAATAAACATCCCTCTGTCACTGGAATTACGCTATAAGCTTTTTACGAGTAGAAGGCCGCACACATTCACAGATATACTAAGCGGGATACATGTATTGGGATGCTGCTGAGCATGGGATAGCTCAGCCAGTTGAAAAATGACTGCTCTCTGATATTTCCTCACATCTGCTGCGCAGCTGTCTTGAACCGTTTTCAGTGTTTGCGGCAAAAACCGTGTACAACGGCCCGTGAACTTCCATCAGAAGCAACAGAGGTTGACAGTTTTGCCTACTTTTCTGACCATCATTGATTTTTTTTCTGGATCTTGTTGAGAATCAATGCTGATCCTATATGAAACTTAGAAGCTGATTTCCGCGTTCCAGCTTGTTAGTGCACAGAAGCCACAAGATTATGCCCCGTCAAGAACATCGTCTGAAAAAACCACTGAGATCATGATTAAACGTACAATGGAAAGGACTGTGACGGTAAGTCATTACAGGAATGTTGTTCCGCGAGATGGACCTCTATCGCTAAACATTTCACGAGATGAATGTGACATGATTTGATAACCGTGACTGAGAATAATGATGGAAATGGCCAAACTGTCCTAGGAAGAAGATCTTCACACGGCTGAGCCAGTTAGAACACCAGCTGGTTTGGAAGATGCCGGATGTAAAACTGCCTCTTTGCCGGAACCCGTGAGTACATGTTGTACCTTCCGCCGCTGCTTGAGTTACGCGGTGACTTTTGTCGCAGTGGAGGACCAACGACTGAAGACACCGTGTCACGCCTGAAATACGTTGTCCTTCCGCCCACTGGGGCCACGCGGTACTTCGTCCCGTTCAAAAAGTGTTTCGTCTTTCACTGAATCAGTCGTCTGGTTTTGTGGCACATATTTGGGTTGGTTCAATCCATCAGATGGATTGCGTCGAAGTGCCGTTAGCGTTGCTCGCAAAAAAAACAACCCTCCGTCGCTCGGCTGAGATTAGATTGTAGATTATAAAAATTGAAAAGTGCAAATTGGTGAATATACTGAACGGAACTTGGTAATGAATAAAGTGCTCATGCACTAGTAATAAGGAGTCTGGCGTCAGGACGTAATCTGTTACTCCAGGTGGAAGCAAAACAACTGCACCAACCGGAAGTGGAGAAGCACACGGAGCGCGAAAGACAAACAGCAACAGTGGTAAGCTTACTCTAGTAGCCTATCAAAGACAGCTCCCGCGATAAAAGTGTCATGTATAGTTGCTGTTCGGTTATGAAGCAGTAGCTGATAAGTTATTCTCCGGAGAAAAAAGCAGCAAGTACCCTGAAGAGCACCATGAACAAAATCCCCGTCTCTCTTCCCTCCTGTTAGCCAAACCGCCCTGCCGTCTCTGTGCAACCCCTGGCTCACAAATCGCTTTATCGCATCTCCGTGGTGGAGATCATCGAGTGCGAAGAAAAGTATGCGAAAAACAACAAAACACGGATGAGCACACTTACAAAAAAGAAATTACAAGAATTCGGCGCCGTAATTTGGCGTTATGAAGCGTCATCTTTTAGTGCATTCCGAGCTTTTGCCCCGTGAACTTTACATAGCTCGTAGTTTTTACGCGTTCTATCTTGCGAGATGGGTTGCAGCTATCTGCTTGTGCTCCCAATTAATAAATGTCAATGATTAAAATGTGGTAAAGGAAAGCAGAACTATATGGGCACGAGCGCGGTCAGCAAAAAGTACATGCAGTTCCGATTAATGCCCGCCGCCCAACAAAGAACAACTGAGCGGCATTCCGTCAGAGGGCAACTAGCTAGTGGGCGGTCCAACTGAGCGGATCTAGCTCACTGTCAGAGAGCGGGCAGTCTCTAGCTTGGAGGCTGGACTACTTGTACAAGGAAAGACGACCATGTAGTCCTCCAGCGCGAGGGCTGTCTTTGATTTCAGAAGGTGAGGATTTCGTTTGGTTCCATAAAAGACCTTGGTCTGTTTAGTATTGACACCTGTGACTCCCAAGCGAACGGGGTTGGGTAGTTTGTGACCGTATATTGATGCCTTTATTTGACCTCCAAAAATCTTGATTGACCGCGATGTCGGTTGTTAAAAACATGTGATCATTTCGCGCTCCATTCACTCTACGCAGTTGGGCTCGTTAATGTAAGCTTTGAGGTGAAAGAAGATAGTCACCTTCTTGCTTATCGATCGACTGGGCTCCTGAGTCACTAAATTTAGTGCGGTTGCCTTACACTGCTGCACGCTTCTGCGTGCATTTACTCATTGTTCATTCCGAACTCGAACAAAGGAGAGGACGCTGAAACGTAGGCATACTCCTCCCCTCCCGCCCCCCGCTCTTGCTATACAGCGCTCAGTCTTCGCCATGACCCGCGTCGACGCGCTACCATTGCAGCAGCGCTGCCATGGTAAACACACGGACGCAGCCCTGACGGAATCCTTCGAGCTAGCCGTGGCCGTTTTGAGAGAGTGTGAGAAATAGGAGGGTACGCGTTGCCTGATCATCCGGTCTCGTTTATGGCTGCGTTAGCATTTATAGCGTTTGGGCGCCCCTGCAGTGGCAGTGCATTACAGCGTGTCGCGCGCGTGGACGCGTATCATCTTGAATTCTTAGAGGTGGCTGAAAGCTTGAAGGAATGAATGAGACAGCAAACTACTGTTTCCCAGCTTTTTCTATAATCCAAACATTTACTAGCCGGTAGACATTTAATGTTAGAGCATTAGCTTGGTGGCTAATTGAAACCAAAAACGTTTCAGGATGACGAGTGTAGGACTGCTTCCGAGCTCATGCCGGCTCAGGTAAGACTATGTTTAATCGTGCATTGTCATGTACAATAGCTCTAGTGGCACGTTCCCATCGATGCCTTAAAATGTGTAATTGATTTTTGCAGGATGATGGATGCAGAACCGCTTCTGAGCCGACACCAAGGGCGGTAAGGAGCATGATGAACCATAACATTTTCTTGCGTACATAGCAGGCCTGCAGTTGGAGATGAACTGTACACCTACTTCGTGGATCCTGATCCACACCATGTGCGAAGCGAATGGGTACGCAGTTTCTTG